TGAGTGCATACACAAGAGGCTCACAATGGGGGCTGAAAAGATCAGTAAATATAGATGGTGTTAGCAGTGCTATATACAGGAAAGCATGATTGTAGGGAATTCCCTCTGAATGTAATACCAGATATACCAATAGCTACTACGATGCGATAGCCTTCAATATTCTGACCAACCTTTGAAATCTGCAATGTCTATTGTAACTAGTAAATCTTAAATCTGGCCTTTATGTTTCTGAACCACAAAAATCACAGAAAATTAGAAATGATCTGATACAACGGAATTTAAGATACTGGTTGAAAAAATTGCTATACCTGCACATGTTATTCTCTGATGAAAAATAAAGTATGAAGGCATTTGTGTATTTTCTTGCTTTTTTCAGGAAAGCATCATTACATTGTCTTCTTTTAGTAAACCTGGTCAATGGTAACTCCAGGAAATGCTGATATTTCTTGCTTTTCAATTTTCCAAATTTTTCTCAAATTTTCTGGCCAACACATACGAAATTTGACAGAAGTCTATTATGATCTAAATAAAAAGTAACTGGAAAGGGCACAAACATCCTATTTTCGGGATGTGGGCTTTTCTATAATAATTCGAAGGCTTCTAATTAATTTTAATCGTAAGCAGCTATGTCTTTGCAAAAAGAGATCTAGGGAAGAGTTTTTCTGTCAACTGACTATTATAGATCATCATTAATATGACATCTGTCACAGAGTGATTTCATTTGAATTAATAATTCTAATGAAAATGTCATTTAGATTTTCATTTGAATGAAAAGATAAGACTTACTTACACCCTGTCCCAAATTGTTTAGAATTCACCAACATTACCAGCTACTATTACCCTCCGGGAACAGAACCAACAAGTATTACTTCATGTATCTTCTGCCTCCTCACTACTCCAACATGTGACACCCTTTCAAATATTTTGATTTCAATTATTTAAAGTAAGCCTGTAACTACACTCTTTCAGTCAAAGATAACCCTTTGATTTAGCCCTATACAATAAGAAAACTGAGAGTTGGTTGATCAAAAGGGGAGGGGGTCGAAATAGCTAGATGCCCAATTAAACTGAATAGGTATGACATTGACATACCATAACTGGAACATCTGCAAATGAAACACGCCAGACAAAGAGGAACAAGATACGGAAAACAACAAATTCACCTGTTTGATCTATTACAAAAATAATCTTATTATTCATGTTTGTATGCAGATGATAAATGGTCAAACCAGAAGCCAGCCTAATTAACTGTATCTCACATGGATATCATATGACCAATCCATCAGTTATCACCAACTACAGATGACCAATCTATAAGTTAGGTAAATCAATCATTGGTAATAAAAAAGTATTTTAAATTATCTATATCACTTATTTTAATATGATATGTGATGTTACAATAACTAGAGCAATTGATTTACTGGTTTATAGTAGAGTATGTATGACCAATAAATTTCATAAATGTAAATACTTGTTTTGTTTGTTTATCATATTAGAACTAAGACATCGAATTTATGATTTATGGCAAATATACGGCCTCGTATCTTATTCTGGTAATTGCCAAAGGCCTCAACCTCTACAATATTTCTGTCTTTAAAACAATGAACAGAATAAAAATCTTTACAAACTACAGATGACCAATCCATCAGTTATTATCAACTACAGATGACCAATTCATCAGTTATTACCAACTACAGATAACCAATCTTTCAGTTATCACCAACTACAGATGACCAATCTATCAGTTATCAGCAACTACAGATGACCAATCCATCAGCTATCACCAACTACAGATGATCAATCCATCAGCTATTACCAACTACAGATGACGAATCTCACAGTTACTACCAACTTCAGATGACCCATCCATCAGATATCACCAACTACAGATGACCATTCTATCAGTTATCACCAACTACAGATGACAAATCTATCAGTTATCACCAACTACAGATGACCAATCCATCATTTATTACCAACTGCAGATGACAAATCTATCAGTTATCACCAACTACAGATGACCAATCCATCAGTTATCACCAAATACAGATGACCAATCCATCAGCTATCACCAACTACAGATGACCAATCTATCAGTTATCACCAACTACACATGACCAATCCATCATTTAACACCAACTATAGATGACCAATCCATCAGTTATCACCAACTAGAGATGACCAATCCATCAGTTATCACCAAATACAGATGACCAATCCATCAGCTATCACCAACTACAGATGACCAATCTATCAGTTATCACCAACTACACATGACCAATCCATCATTTAACACCAACTATAGATGACCAATCCATCAGTTATCACCAACTAGAGATGACCAATCCATCAGTTATCACCAACTATAGATGACCAATCCATCAGTTATCACCAACTAGAGATGACCAATCCATCATTTAACACCAACTATAGATGACCAATCCATCAGTTATCACCAACTAGAGATGACCAATCCATCAGTTATCACCAAATACAGATGACCAATCCATCAGCTATCATCAACTACAGATGGCCAATCCATCAGCTATCACCAACTACAGATGACTAATCTATCAGTTATTACCAACTTGAGATGACCAATCTATCAGTTATTACCAACTTGAGATGACCAATCCATCAGATATTACCAACTTGAGATGACCAATCCATCAGCTATTATCAACTACAGATGACGAATCCCACAGTTACTACCAACTTCAGATGACCAATCCATCAGTTATCGCCAACTACAGATGACCAATCCATCAGCTATCGCCAACTACAGATGACCAATTTATCAGTTATCACCAACTACAGATGACAAATCTATCAGTTATCACCAACTACAGATGACCAATTCATCAGTTGTTACCAACTACAGATGACCAATCCATCAGTTATCACCAAATACAGATGACCAATCCATCATTTATTACCAACTACAGATGACGAATCTCACAGTTACTACCAACTTCAGATGACCCATCCATCAGATATCACCAACTACAGATGACCATTCTATCAGTTATCACCAACTACAGATGACAAATCTATCAGTTATCACCAACTACAGATGACCAATTCATCAGTTGTTACCAACTACAGATGACCAATCCATCAGTTATCACCAAATACAGATGACCAATCCATCAGTTATCACCAACTACAGATGACGAATCTCACAGTTACTACCAACTTCAGATGACCCATCCATCAGATATCACCAACTACAGATGACCATTCTATCAGTTATCACCAACTACAGATGACAAATCTATCAGTTATCACCAACTACAGATGACCAATTCATCCGTTGTTACCAACTACAGATGACCAATCCATCAGTTATTACCAACTGCAGATGACAAATCTATCAGTTATCACCAACTACAGATGACCAATCCATCATTTATTACCAACTGCAGATGACAAATCTATCAGTTATCACCAACTACAGATGACCAATTCATCAGTTATTACCAACTGCAGATGACCAATCTATCAGTTATCACCAACTACAGATGACCAATCTATCAGTTATCACCAACTACAGATGACCAATCCATCAGTTACTACCAACTTCAGATGACCAATCCATCAGATATCACCAACTACAGATGACCAATCCATCAGTTGTTATCAACTACAGATGTCCAATCTATCAGTTATTATCAACTACAGATGACCAATCCATCAATTATTCCAACTACAGATGACGAATCTCTCAGTTGATTCCAACTACAGATGACCAATCCATCAGTTATCACCAACTACAGATGACCAATCCATCAGTTATCACCAACAAGAGATGACCAATCCATCAGTTATCACCAACTACAGATGACCAATCCATCATTTATTACCAACTACAGATGAGGAATCCATCATTTAACACCAACTACAGATGACGAATCTCACAGTTACTACCAACTAAAGATGACCAATACATCAGTTATCATCAACTACAGATGACAAATCTATCAGTTATCACCAACTAGAGGTGACCAATCCATCAGTTGTTATCAACTACAGATGTCCAATCTATCAGTTATTACCAACTACAGATGACCAATCCATCAGTTGTTACCAACTACAGATGACCAATCCATCAGTTATTATCAACTAAAGATGACCTATCCATCAGTTGTTACCAACTATAGATGTCCAATCTATCAGTTATTACAGACTACAGATGACCAATCCATCAGTTGTTATCAACTAAAGATGACCAATCCATCAGTTATCATCAACTACAGATGACAAATCTATCAGTTATCATCAACTACAGATGACCAATCCATCAGTTATTACCAACTACAGATGACCAATCCATCATTTTTACCAACTACAGATGACCAATCCATCAGTTATCACCAACTACAGATGACCAATCCATCAGTTGCTATCAACTACAGATGACCAATCCATCAGTTATCACCAACTACAGATGACCAATCCATCAGTTATCACCAACTACAGATGACAAATCTATCAGTTATCACCAACTACAGATGACCAATCCATCAGTTATTACCAACTACAGATGACCAATCCATCGTTTTTACCAATTACAGATGACAAATCCATCAGTTATCACCAACTACAGATGACCAATCCATCAGTTATTACCAACTTCAGATGACCAATCCATCGTTTTTACCAACTACAGATGACCAATTCATCAGTTATTACCAACTACAGATGACCAACCAGTCAGTTACTTCCTATATACTCCTCTTCTGTTCTATGATCAAAATATTCCAAAATCCTTCTGAATTTCTAAATAACACACTTTGCAAGATCAGCAGATAACATATTGCACAGGGGGTCATTAACAGAACCTTGACAAAGTTAATAATTCCGTTTGCTCTATTGTACTTTTACTATGACATCAGTATATCCATGGTTACATCAAATGATTCAGAAACTCATAACTTTGTGAAGAATCTGTTAATGACCCCCTTGGATATGTATATTTGAATAAAATAAAATGTACTTACTGGATGTGCTATTCCATTGACTCCGAACCCTGAATTTACAAAACCCTGAAAACAGAAATAAGAAACATTAATTCTTAAGCTCAAAGCCTAATAAATATAGGTGTTTTGTTAAATGCTGATTAAAGTTCATAAACATTTCTACTGCCACTTTAAACATTGTAAATGACATTTAACATGCAATTTATAGGTAGATTAAAAACTATATGGAGGATGTTTAGCATATATCTTAGAGGAAGAGATAATACTGGTCAAACCCCAGTTGACCAACATGTATCAAACAAACAATTTTTCAAATTGTAATAAATACTACAATATAGTACAACATGTCCCATATCTGGGTCAAGTCATTTAAAAAAATCATTAACGAGGTACAGTATTTATACTGTTTCACCTTGAAAGTGATTATAACTGTCAACAACTTTCAGGTAAATAAACAACTTGGAGTACTAATGTATATTATATTGATCAGTCAATCATATCTTAACCAAAAGCTTGTCTCAAATGGATGATGCTGGAATTAGCAAAGATTTCTCTGCAACAATAGGTATTCCCATTTTAGCAACCAAAAGTATAGAACTGAAAAGTCTCCATGTTAAAGGTGTTCACTTTAGAGGTGTTTGCATGATACAGTTTTACTGTATAACTACTTAACATTAGTCAGCATGGAACCAAATCACATATTATTAGTTATTAACAGTAGTACTACGACATTAAAAATATTAACCAAGAGTCATACAACAAACCACAAAACCAAAGTGGAGTGTGACCCAATTTATATATCCTGTTTAATTCAAAAAAGACAAATTTCTGTATTCAAATTGCTGAGTTAAATCAGTACCACCCACTCAAATATATCCCTCAACACCCTTTTTCAGTCAGCAATGGTGCTGTTGTGAGCAGCAGAAATTGATGAAGTAACCATGGTAACTATTAGGTATATGGATCAGTGTAGTGATCATCATTAGATGCTTGTTCCAATAAAAAATCTGTCAGACACTAGTCTGACACTAAAGAAATTGACAAGACACAATGATTAAAAAAAAAAATGCATGCATTTTAAATGAACATCTTATTTTACATAATGTGGGCAGTGCCAGATCATATCTACAGAATATAAGAATACTATGTTATTTTCCAACCGAAAAAAGGCAGATGTCAAATCTCTGCATTAGACTCAAACTGTCCCCTTCCCCTACTTCTTTGATGGGATATGACAAAGGATTTGATATTTAGAGAGTATAATAATGCACAGTGATTACTATTTCATTTTAAGACCACACTTGTTTATACTTGTTTACATTTTAAAAGACCACAAATCAATGAAAAACATATTAAATTCTACTTAAGTCCTCTCTATTTGAAACTTAGCAGATTAATGCAATGTTTTACTATGAAAAAACAGTGTTTATCTTCGGGGAAAACCAACAGACAAGTGACTGAAGTGAGCCTGTCTTATTAGTTACTTTTGGGCAATGATTGGGGCCATAGGTTAAGTAGGTGTGTAAACCCATAATAATCGGACCCATTAAACAGTGACCCTGGCCCTATATACTGCCACTTGCCTATACCTGGTAAACGACTCTGGATTTTATGCAAACAAACACTACAGATCAATAACCAGTTAGATATTAACTTTTAGAATTACAATGTACAACATATCTTTATACTGTGGTGGTAGTATTAGATTCGTATAAAAAACCTTCGCAGTACACTGTCAATATGTAACTTTGTATTTAGTAAACACAGGGTGGGGTTAAAGATGGTGGGGTTGTATCACTTATACTGTCTGTTCTAAATAAACTTGAATAATGTACTATAGTATATGGAAAGACAGTTACATGAAATTCCTTGGCTCGCTCTTATTGCAGTACCTACAATATTGATTTTGGCTATTTTCTATGGAAAACAAATATATTTCAGTTACGTATCTAGATAATATATAATCAAATATATACATTATATACTTTGGAAAAATCATAAATGATGCTACAACAACATTTACATCACTAGGGCAACCACATCCTGTTATGCTGCTTTAGTGTTATAATTTAGTCATTGCCCCTCACTAAAATTTATTTTTTGTTTATATCTAATGTAAGGTAATTCTTATATCCCACACAAAGTTCTAAACAAAATGTTCCCCATTATCCAGTGGGAGTCTTCTAATTAAAAAAAACAATATTTGATAAAAAAATATAACAAAAGCTAAATAAAAACTTAGTTTAAAAATGAAAATATTTTTTGTTTGTTATAAATCTACAAAAGTATAAAAAGTATAATACAACTCAAATGAGAAATGTGACAAAAGTGACAATACACTGCATGAAAAATACAATACATTGTATGAAATAACATTGTATGAAATATACAATAGATTATACATTGTATGCAATCTATTATAGTATGGTTAAAAGATATTCTGGAACCAAGAAACCCTGCTTGTAAAAGGATACCAGATTATCAGTTATCACACGTTTCAGCATGTGATACAGGAAATATTCCACGAAAGGTAATATTGTATCATCCACGAAAGCGAAGCTTGAGTGGTGATACATTGTTACCCGAGTGGAATATTTCCTGTATCACATAAGCTGAAACGTGTGATGACGATTTTATCACATGTCTAGGAATTTTGAAGCATTTTGATTTGGTCAGTTATGATTGTGTTCAGAACTCCGTGTACTTCTGGTAACTATTATAATTTTTGATTTCGCTTTGAAACAATATGACGTCATACCGTTGTATTCGTACTTGTTTGTGAAATAGTATGACGCCATATTGTTTTCCTTAGAAGTGATATAATCAGTGACGTCACATTGTTGCTATCGATCATCATTGGTTGCCTCTAGTAACGTGTGAGACGGCCGTGTGAGACGGGAAAACTCACACGGTAATCAACCAATCAGATTACTGGAATTTTACAGAGCGTGTGATAAAAGAATATATTAATTGTTCTTTAAGGTCAATAAATTATGTCACGTTAAGGTGGGCAGAGGCCAACCAACATTTTATAAAGTAAAACTGAAAACTATTCTTCTATGCCTTCCTAAATCCAGCATACTTATATATAGAGACTTTTAGATTGTATCAGTATATTATACTATGATAGCACAAGCTGAAGTAGTTTCTATTGAAACTGAATTGAAACGTTTAAGCAGACTTTCAAGCCAGATTTATTGATCATAAGCAGAATGCAATATGACAATTCTTGCCAACTCTACTGCTACAGAATGACACCAGAAATCACAATCAATTACTGGTACAATTCTACTGTTAAACAAAAATATCACAGTCCATCATTCTACAAATATCAGTATCTTTCACATTTCTTGATCAGAGTTGGTAGGTTGAGCAAGCAACATACAACCATTACAATCAACAGTCAACCGTTACAATCAACAGTCCACCATAACACTCAGCACCCAGGGGCAACATTGAAGGGACATGTATTCCAAACCCAAATAAAATATGTCAACCAATAGAAATGACACATAATATGCTTGTCCGTAGCCAGCTTTTGCCAGGAGGGGGAGGTTTTTTCCAGGGGGTGAGCTTTTTCACAATTTTGGCTAAAACTCATGCGAAAAATTCTCAGAATGTTGAAAACTGCATGATTTTGAAAGGATTTCTGAATTTCTTCCAAAAAATTCTCAGAATGTTGAAAAACTGCATGATTTTGAAAGAATTTCTGGTCAGGGGGAGGAGCTTACACTCCCCCAGCACCCACTCTGGCTACGGGCCTGATATGTAACACAAATCAATTCTCTAAATTACGTGTACTTTATGTATATTTTAAATAACAACACAGTCCATTCTAGCATATATAAAAATCCCCATGATCGAATTTCATAAATCAGAAATATGACTACTTTTACAAGTGAATGAACGCTTCAGAATAATCGCACTATTTATTCAGAGTACATCAATATCAATAATGATGATGACAATGATGGTGTTGCCGCAAAGTAGCCTGAAGACAGTAGCACCTGTAGGCCTGCCTCTGTAGCCTGCCTCAGCAATCAGTTTTATTCCAGTAAATATAGAAACAACTGAGACAAAGTAACATTAACCACTAATAAGAGAATATACTCCTCATATTCTAACTGTGATTAATTACACATCCTCTTATGATAGTTTTTATGTTATAGATGAGTAAAGCTGTTTCTCTCATTACACTTACTCCCTCCTAAAGTTTGTTTTTCAACAACTTTTTCTTGTTGGTATTTGTTTAGAGAGATCAATTTGATTATGTTTCCAACATTTTCAATTGTGTCATTTGTCTTTGACTAGTAGAACAACATACATGACTATGAAAAAGCCATAAGACAACCTATGAACTATTTTTCATGAACTAATACAGATTTAAAACTTCATAACAGATATAGCAAAAATTGACACTAATTTTATGACATGTAATAAACCTACTTTAAGTTGAGAGAATGCATATTCTCTATATAACAAACATCATTTTTGTCATTCAAACTGCAATTCAAATCTTTTTGATTTTTAATTTCATAATAATCATTCAAACAATACAAGAGCACAAGCGGCAAATTTGAAAAATGCATTTATATAAAAACAACTAACAGGTTTTATTAATTCAATATTCACACAAGAATATAAAATTCATAGATCAAGATGACTGAGTATAAACTGATGATAAACACACATGTATATGTACTAGTACTTGTAATGAAAGTACTTGAACTCATGTTGAACTGAAATATTATGATGGAGAATTATGAGTATATATATATATAGAAATGGCAATGAGAATGTTTTATATTATAATTTGTTATATAGAATATACACTTCTAAATAAGATGATTTTTCACATGTACAATATGCATGGATAAGATTGGTCATAAATTGTGTTGTCTATAAAATCAATATGTGGTACATACACCTACTCAGATTTTCTTGCATTCAGGCTGAGCTATTTATAATATTTGGGAAGTTCTCTAAACAATTGGAAAATCAATGTTATGGCTCAGTATCTTTAGGATTTTTCTTTTTGTCATAATAAATGGAGAAAATGGTAAACT